TATTCTTTGTTTGAGGTAAGAGAGTTTTACTGTCAGTTACAGCAAGCCTCCAAGACACACATAAAATGAGATTACAATAGTTGTTTTGCAGACTAGTACAAAGAGCAAAAATTACCTATCTCATTTTTAAAGCTATTATAACCTTGATGCTTAAACCTAACAGGGATGGCATCATAAAATAAAATGTGAGACAAATTTCAATGTGGCCATAGCTTATTTTTATCTTACATAAAATGCTAGCAATTGGAATTCAGCAATGCATAAAATATCTCATGATCAAGTAGCACCACAAGAATATTTCAATGTAAGATACCTGTTCTGAGCTGAACTATGTCCTCCCAAAATTCATATGTTGAGGTCCGAACTCCCAGTACCTCAGAATAAGACTGTATTTGGAGATAGAGCTTTAAAGTGGTAATTAAGTTAAAATGAGGTTATTAGGGTGGGCCCTAATCTGACTGGTGTCCTTGTACAAAGAGGAAATTCGGGCAGAGACATAGATATCTGCAGAGGAAAGACCGTGTGAGGACACAGGGAGAAGACAGCCATCTACAAGCCAAAGAGAGAGGCCTCAGAAGAAACCAATCCTGCTGACACCTTGATCTCAGAAGTCCAGCTGCCAGAACCATGAGAAAATAAATGTTTGCTCTTTAAGCCACTTAGTCTGTGGGACTTTGGTATGTCAGCCCCAGCAAAGTACTGTAGTAAAAGACCAAAGTAGAAAACCTATATAAACATATAAGTAAATGCAAAGAAAGCAGTGGCTACAATTCAATTCTTTTTAAGGCTTTCAATGAAGGATAACATACCTACGAAAAAAGTCTACAAAATTCACTATACTGTGAATTTTCACCAGCTAAATCCACCTGTGTAATCAGCACTTGGATCAAGAAACAGAACCCAACAAGCATCCCAGGTCCCTCCCCATGTCCTCTTCAACACCAGTCGGGCTGTGTGGGCTGAATTATATCCTTGTAAAGTTCATTTGTTGAATCCCTAATCCTCAAAGTGACTGTATTTGGAGACAGAGCCTCTAAAGAGGGTAATTAATGTTAAAGTTATAAAGTGGGGTCCTGATCCAAAAGGACTGATGTCTTTATAAGAAAAAGAAGACAGCAGCAATCCACAAGGGAAAATGCCATGTGAGGACACAGGGAGAAGGTGGCCATCTACCTACAAGCCAAGGACAGAGGTCTCAGGAGAAACCAACCCTGCTGGCACTTTGATCTTAGACTTCCAGCCTTCAGAACCATGAGAAAATATCTGGTGTGTGGTGTGTGTGTGACTGTATCATATACATTATATACATATATAATACATATATTATATACATATGTAATATGTATGTACATATAGTGTATGTATTATATATTTATATGTATTATATATACAGATACATATACGTATACATATATACATTAATAATACATATATGTATTTATATACATTATATATACACATATATGTATTTATATATTATATATAATGCATATATGTATTTATATACATATATATAACTTATTAATATAGTTTCTTGTGGGAGCATGAGGAGGTGAGTAATGAAAACAGTCCCTGGCACACAGTTATGTCTAAGTGTTCACGGATAGCATAGTACTGAGTAAACAAGGCATAGAAGGAATTTAGGTAAATTTACAATACACAGGCCGGGCGCGGTGGCTCACGCCTGTAATCCCAGCACTTTGGGAGGCCGAGGTGGGCGGATCACGAAGTCAGGAGATCAGGACCATCCTGGCTAACATGGTGAAACCCCGCCTCTACTAAAAATACAAAAACAAAATTAGCCGGGCGTGGTGGCGGGCTCCTGTAGTCCCAGCTACTCAGGAGGCTGAGGCAGGAGAATGGTGTGAACCTCGGAGGTGGAGCTTGCAGTGAGCCGAGATCACTCCAGCCTGTGCGACAGTGAGACCCCAGCCCCCCAAAAAAAATAAATAAAATAAAATTTACAACACACAGGTGCATGTTCTAGCAAAAACAAATAGACATGTATTTTTAATTTATCTAACTGGCATGTGCAAAGGTATTATTCAAAGTTAACTTGTGTGCCAGGTATGATTCTAATTGATTTTGTTTAATTCTTATTATTGTTTAAGGCCTATCTGCATTGGTGCATGTATATTAAGTGAATGGATTCTGACTGCTGCATAGTATTTTAATATATGCCTACACCATATTTTATTTTTCCATTCCCCTAGTGGTGGACCCTAGGGGACTCCAATGTCCTGCCACCAAAAACAATGCCGCAGTGAACATGCTTGACGATGTCCTCTTTTGGAGCTGTGTAGCAGGACTGGGGGTGCTCGTCAGTGAGATTGCTGGATACTTTGTATGGACACAATATCTTGAATGAATTCTCCCTGATGGCTCTTCAAAACTCCTGCATTGGTCTACATCCCCAACAGTAGTATACAGGGGTTCCCAGTTCCTTTCCATCCCTGCCAACATTTGACATTATCCAACTTTCTCGTTTTTGCCAGGCTATTGAATGTAAAGTAATTCACTGTTGTGTTCATGTGTATCTAATTATTGGGTTTGGGCGTCTCTTCATATATTTATGAGCTATTTGTGTTTCCCCTTCTGTGAATTGCTTATTTGTATACTTTGACTACTTTTCTTTCGGGTTTCCCACCTTTTCCTGAACAATTTATAGGATTTTTTTGTGTAGTCTAGGATTAGGTTACATGTGGATTTTAAACGTGGAGTCTACACATGGCATGCATCTATAGCAAGGTTTATCAATCTCAACACTATTAATATTTGGCCAGATAATTACTAGTTGTGAGGTATCCTGTACACTGGAGGATGTTTAGCAGCATTTCTGGCCTCTACCTGACAGATTTGCCAGTGGCACCCCCTACCCAGTTGTGACAACCAAAAATATCTCCAGACATTGCCAAATATCCTGAGGGGTGGGGAACACAATTGAGCCCAGTTGAGAACCACTGGTCTATAACCAGTGGTTCATCCTATTGGGTTATAATTATCTAATTCCATTGATTAGAAATCCATAACTTTTAATAAAATCCATTTTTATGTCATGCTTTGTGTTTGGGAGGTATTATTTGAGAAGACCTTATCATTCCTGGGTTATAAAAATATTTCCCTATAATGTCTGGTCTCAAACTCCTCACCTCAAGTGATCTGCCTGCCTCGGTCCTCCAAAGCGCTGGGATTACAGGCATGAGCCACCACACTAGGCCCTATAATGGTTTTTTTTTTTTTTTTTAATCAGCTTAATTGTTTAACCTTTAAGTCTTTAATTTATCTATGCTCTACTTTTATATTCTGGATAAAGTAGGTTTCTAGGTATAATTTGATCGACATAGTCACCCAGTTTTTCAAAGCCATCTACAAGTCAGTGACACCTTTCCTATTAATGTGTGATACCACATTATCACTCAAGTTCCCACGTATGTGTGGTCTGTCTCTGAGCTATCTTGTCTATTCAATCTCTTTTCCTGTCCTTCCATCAGAACCACATAATTCTTCTATTACTGTGACCTTGTAACATATCTTAATATCTAGAAGACAAGTCCCTCCTCTTTTTAAAAGCTGGCTCAATCATTTGTGGACCTTTATATTTATTAATTTTAGAATATTTATCAGGTTTATCAACGTAGCCATCTGGAATGCTAATTCAATCATATCAAATTTATAGATTACTTTGAAAAAAATTGACATTTTTACAATGTTCTGTTATTCTATCACAAACATGAAATGCCTCTTCACTTACTCAAAAATTCCTTTTATGTCCTTTGATTGAATTTAAATTTTTCTTCCATAGAGAACTTCTTTACTCCTTGATATATTAATGGCTAGGTATATTTAGTTTCTCTTGCTACTGTGAGTGGCATTTTATTTTCTTATGTTTGATGGTTAGTTCTGTATTTGCTGCTATGGACACAGCTATTGGTTTTTAGTAGTTGATCTTGTATCTGGAAATCTTGTTGAATCCTCTTATCGGTTATAAAAGAGAGTCTGCTGATTCAGTTGGCTTTCTATGCAGATTATTACAGCACTTAAAAATAATGTTAGTTTTGCCCCTTCCTTTTTTGAGATAGAGTTTCCCTCCATCACCCAGGCTGGAGTGCAATGGCGCGATCTCAGCTCACTGCAACCTCCGCTTCCCAGGTTCAAGCAATTCTCTGCCTTAGCCTCCCGAGTAGCTGGGACTACGGGCATGTGCCACCACGCCCAGCTGACTTTTGTATTTTTTGTAAAGACAGGCTTTTGCCATGTTGGCCAGGCTGGTCTCAAACTCCTGGCCTCTAGTGATGCACCTACCTAGGCCTCCCAAAGTGCTAGGATTATGGACAGGCGCAGTGGCTCACGCCTATAATCCCAGTACTTTGGGAGGCCGAGGCGGGCAGATCACTAAGTCAAGAGATCCAGACCATCCTGGCCAACATGGTGAAACCCCATATCTACTAAAAATACAAAAATCAGTCGGGCATGGTGGTGCACGCCTGTAGTCCCAGCTAGACGGGAGGCTGAGGCAGGAGAATCGCGTGAACCCAGGAGGCAGGGGTGGCAGTGAGCTGAGATCAGGCCACTGCACTCCAGTCTGGTAATAGAGCAAGCCTCTGTCTTTAAAAAAAAAAGTGCTGGGATTACAGGTGTGAGCCACCACAGCCAGCCTGCCTCCCCTTTTAATCCTCACACACTTTTATACTAGTTTGCTAGGCTGCCATTAAAAAAGAAACACACACACACCAGACTGGATGTCTTAAAGAGTAGAAATTTATTTTCTCACAATTCTGAAGGCTCAGATGATTGTAAAATCAGAGTCATCCAACAACAGTAAAAATTTATTTTCTCACAATTCTTGTGATGTGTTTGGCTTGTGGATGGCTGTCTTCCCCCTGTGTCTTTACAATGTCTTGTCTCTGTATGTATATGTGTCCTAATCTCCTCTTCTTATACAGATAACAGTCACATTGTAAAAAAGGGACCAACTTAATGACCTTTTTTAATTTAATTACCTGTGTAAAGACCTTGTCTCCAAATACAGTCCCATTCTGAGGTTCTAGTGGTTAGGATGTCAACATGCAAACTGGGGATACAATGCACCCATAACAGTCTTGCATTGCTTGTTCTTGGTTTCAACTGCAGTGACAATCCAAGGTGCTCTCATACTTTTCCATGTCACAGTTATGCCAGGCAGGCACTGATGCCCTGAAGCAATGCATGGGAGAGAGGAAAGAATAGGAGTCACGCCTGTCCCCTGGTGAGGCTCCCCGTGCCCGTCTGTCTCTGGCTCACATTTCCTTCTGAGTCAAGATTCCTTCCCCTGCAGCACCCCAGAGTTTTCCCACAGGTTTTGTGCTATTTCTTCAGCACCTCCACGCTTCCCTTTCCTTCCATGTCCCTCCAGAATTCAAGTTTTGGTGGTGGGGGCAGGAAGAAGGGTAGCGAGAATGGAGAAAACTATCTAGCCAGAAATCCCCATGATCTGATCACACTTTAGAAAGGTCTTTTTGGCTGGAGTGTAGAAACTGATTCAGACATGGGCAATATTGGAGGCAGAGAAACCAGATAAGGGACTATGGCAGCAGATGACCTGTTGACATCCTACACAGAGGTTCTGGCAATGGGAATAGAGAAACAGATGGTGTTGACAGGACTCGGTGCTTTTTTACACGTGGGATAGAAGGCAAGGAAAAGGTCCAGAATGATTCCCAGGTTTCTGGCTTGGGCCACTGGGCAAATGGTGGGGACTTTCACTGTGATACAGGATGTAGCAGAAAGGGGAGGTTTGGGGGTTGAGGGAGGTGGATGGGGAGTGCCCATAAGACATCCCAATTGAGGTGTTTAGCAGGCAGTTGGAGCTCTAGCCCTCGCACCCAGGGGAGAAATGTGGACTGGATGACTTTGGAAGTCAGCAGTCTATGAATGGTAATTGAAGCCACTGGAATGGATGAGCTAAAGTGAGCTTCCTGGGATGGTGTGAGGAGGGAGAATAGAGGGCCCAGGATATAACTCTGAAAACCACAACATTTAAGGGCTGATCTGAAAAAGAAGAGACAGCAAAGGATGCTCAGAAGGAGCTGCCAGTGAGATGGCAAGAAACCCAGGCATGTTAAAAGAGCCATGAGAAGAGCAGGTGTTAAGAAATGTGACCAAGATGGGCGCAGTGGCTCATGCCTGTAATCCCAGCACTTCAGAAGGCCAAAGAGGGAGGATCACTTGAGCCCAGGAGTTCAAGACCAATCCTGGGCAACATGGTGAAACCCCATCTCTTCAAAGAAAATTAAAAAATACAAATATTAGCCAGGTGTGGGGACACATGCCTGTAGTCCCAGCTACTCAGGAGGCTGGGGCAGGAGGATCACCTGAGTCTGGGGAAGTTGAGGCTGTGGTGAGCTGTGATCACATCACTGCACTCTAACCTGGGCAATAGAGCAAGACCTTATCTTAAAACAAATAAGTGAAACCAGAGGACTGAAAGGTGTTCCCTGGATTTAGGGACATGGAAGTCATCAGCTACCTCTGCTCCCAATAGGGGAGGTTGTCATTTTCACCATTGTGACAATAATAATGATCACAATGGTATCACCTTAGAATTATATAACATTTTATACTTTTGTAAGCAGTTTATGTTCCACAACCTTCTTCTGTTTTATGGAAATTGTAGATCATAAAGTCACATTTTAAGGAACTAGGGAAGTTTGTTCCAGAAAAGAGAAGATTCAGGGGGGATATTCTGAACATGCTGAGAGTCTTCAAATTCCCAAAAGGCTATGCAGAGTCTTCCAAGCAGAGCTTCAGAGGGCTGTGGACATCAGGGCCTGACTCAAATGTTTGTAAAATCAGAGTTGTCCAACAACAGGATGTGCTACCTCCAAAGATAATGAGAGCCTCACCCCCACTCTACCCACTCCACCTTCTCAAGCACTTTCAAGTTCATTGTCTCATTTCACCTTTGAAACCGTTCTGTGGGGAGACAGAGGTAGTTTTCCCTGAACTTACAGATGGAGAACCTGAAGCTCCACTTCTTGTTCCAATAGCAGTGTTTTGGCCGTGCCTTCCATTGGAGACATCTGGGCTGAGCAGTCACCTGTCAGGGAAACCCAGCAAGAATTACTGCCCAGGGGGCCGGGCACGGTGGCTCACGCCTGTAATCCCAGCACTTTGGGAGGCCAAGGCAGGTGGATCATGAGGTCAGGAGATCGAGACCATCCTGGATAACACAGTGAAAACCCATCTCTACTAAAAAAATACAAAAAAAATTAGCTGGGCGTGGTGGTGGGTACCTGTAGTCCCAGCTACACGGGAGGCTGAGGCAGGAGAATGGTGTGAACCTGGCAGGCGGAGCTTGCAGTGAGCCGAGATCACGCCACTGCACTCCAGCCTGGGCGACAGAGCAAGAGACTCCATCTAAAAAAAAAAAAAAAAAAAAGAATTACTTCCTGGGGGAAGGAGGAGGGAGCGCATATAGGAGCTAGGGGCCCCTACTAGCTGAGGTTGCTTCTAGCTAAACCATCAGTAACAATAGTTTTCTTCATCACATGGGGTAATGCTCTTTACAGATGAGGAAACTAAAGTACAAAGAAAATGTTATTGAAAAATAAAGGTCCTCCCAGGTTGCAGTGAGCCGAGATTGCACCATTGTACTCCAGCCTGGGCAACGAGAATGAAACTCCATCTCAAAAATAAATAAATAAATAAATATATAAATAAAATAAAACTCCTCCCACAGACCCACCAAAGGCAGTCCTTCTACAGACCTCAGCAACAGCATTCTAATCTCACAGGGTTCGAACAGTTATTGATCAGTTTCTGATGGGTTTGGCTGGAGCAGTGTTCTCCACACTGATGGGGCACTGGTCAAGGAATTTCTGTCTCTGTGCCCTACTGGAACAACCCCTTAATAACTGTGCCCTGCACGGGATCAGCAGTGCCCTACACTCAGACTCTGGGTTACTGCTCTTTGATTCACACTCAGAAAACTCAGCTCTTCTTCTAACAGAGACACCATGTCAGGGAATAAGGATGCAAAGGACCTTGTAGAGCAAATTATGAGCAGTGATACAATGTTACTATCCAGAAACAAGAGCAGCCATAGACTGCTTCAACTCTTGAGCAGAACTGATCTCTTCAACCTAGGAAAGTCCCTGAGACTCCTGGACATCTTGGTGGAGGATGGGGGGAGGGGGGAAGTGGGAAGTTGGATCCTCACGGATGAGATGGAAACTTCCTGCTAATTGGGACAGGGAGTGCTTCTGCAATTAATTTGAAGGAAATGATAAGCAAATGCAATTAATTTGAAAGAAATGATAAGTAAACCAAGTATCTGTCAACAAGAGAATGAATTGATAAATTATGATATTTCCACATAGTGAAATACTATATAGCATAAAAAATGGATAAACAAGGATACTCATATGTAAAACATCATAGTAGATTTAAAAAGGCAAATTGCGAGATGGGAGCAAGATGGCCGAATAGGAACAGCTCCAGTCTCCAACTCCCAGCGCGAGCGACACAGAAGACTGGTGATTTCTGCATTTTCAACTGAGGTACTGGGTTCATCTCACTGGGGAGTGCCGGACGATCGGTGCTGGTCAGCTGCTGCAGCCCGACCAGCGAGAGCTGAAGCAGGGCGAGGCATTGCCTCACCTGGGAAGCACAAGGGGGAAGGGAATCCCTTTTCCTAGCCAGGGGAACTGAGACACACAACACCTGGAAAATCGGGTAACTCCCACCCCAATACTGCGCTTTAAGCAAACAGGCACACCAGGAGATCATATCCCACACCTGGCCGGGAGGGTCCCACACCCACGGAGCCTCCCTCATTGCTAGCACAGCAGTCTGTGATCTACCGGCAAGGCAGCAGCGAGGCTGGGGGAGGGGCGCCCGCCATTGCTGAGGCTTAAGTAGGTAAACAAAGCTGCTGGGAAGCTCGAACTGGGTGGAGCTCACAGCAGCTCAAGGAAACCTGCCTGTCTCTGTAGACTCCACCTCTGGGGACAGGGCAATAACAAACACAGCCGAAACCTCTGCAGATGCAAACGACTCTGTCTGACAGCTTTGAAGAGAGCAGTGGATCTCCCAACACGGAGGTTGAGATCTGAGAAGGGACAGACTCCCTGCTCAAGTGGGTCCCTGACCCCTGAGTAGCCTAACTGGGAGACATCCCCCACTAGGGGCAGTCTGACACCCCACACCTCACAGGATGGAGTACACCCCTGAGAGGAAGCTTCCAAAGCAAGAATCAGACAGGTACACTCGCTGTTCAGAAATATTCTATCTTCTGCAGCCTCTGCTGCTGATACCCAGGCAAACAGGGTCTGGAGTGGACCTCAAGCAATCTCCAACAGACCTACAGCTGAGGGTCCTGACTGTTAGAAGGAAAACTATCAAACAGGAAGGACACCTACACCAAAACCCCATCAGTACATCACCATCATCAAAGACCAGAGGCAGATAAAACCACAAAGATGGGGGAAAAGCAGGGCAGAAAAGCTGGAAATTCAAAAAATAAGAGCGCATCTCCCCTGGCAAAGGAGCGCAGCTCATCGCCAGCAACGGATCAAAGCTAGACGGAGAATGACTTTGACGAGATGAGAGAAGAAGGCTTCAGTCCATCAAATTTCTCAGAGCTAAAGGAGGAATTACGTACCAGCGCAAAGAAACTAAAAATCTTGAAAAAAAAGTGGAAGAATTGATGGCTAGAGTAATTAATGCAGAGAAGGTCATAAACGAAATGAAAGAGATGAAAACCATGACACGAGAAATACGTGACAAATGCACAAGCTTCAGTAACCGACTCGATCAACTGGAAGAAAGAGTATCTGCGATTGAGGATCAAATGAATGAAATGAAGCGAGAAGAGAAACCAAAAGAAAAAAGAAGAAAAAGAAATGAACAAAGCCTGCAAGAAGTATGGGATTATGTAAAAAGACCAACTCTACGTCTGATTGGGGTGCCTGAAAGTGAGGGGGAAAATGGAACCAAGTTGGAAAACACTCTTCAGGATATCATCCAGGAGAACTTCCCCAACCTAGTAGGGCAGGCCAACATTCAAATTCAGGAAATACAGAGAATGCCACAAAGATACTCCTCGAGAAGAGCAACTCCAAGACACATAATTGCCAGATTCACCAAAGTTGAAATGAAGGAAAAAATCTTAAGGGCAGCCAGAGAGAAAGGTCGGGTTACCCACAAAGGGAAGCCCATCAGACTAACAGCAGATCTCTCGGCAGAAACTCTCCAAGCCAGAAGAGAGTGGGGGCCAATATTCAACATTCTTAAAGAAAAGAATTTTCAACCCAGAATTTCATATCCAGCCAAACTAAGTTTCATAAGTGAAGGAGAAATAAAATCCTTTACAGTTAAGCAAATGCTTAGAGATTTTTGTCACCACTAGGCCTGCCTTACAAGAGACCCTGAAGGAAGCACTAAACATGGAAAGGAACAACCGGTACCAGCCATTGCAAAAACATGCCAAAATGTAAAGACCATCGAGGCTAGGAAGAAACTGCATCAACTAATGAGCAAAATAACCAGTTAATATCATAATGGCAGGATCAAGTTCACACATAACAATATTAACCTTAAATGTAAATGGACTAAATGCTCCAATTAAAAGACACAGACTGGCAAACTGGATAAAAAGTCAAGACCCATCAGTCTGCTGTATTCAGGAGACCCATCTCACACGCAGAGACATACATAGGCTCAAAATAAAGGGATGGAGGAAGATTTACCAAGCAAATGGAGAACAAAAAAAAGCGGGGGTTGCAATACTAGTCTCTGATAAAACAGACTTTAAACCATCAAAGATCAAAAGAGACAAAGAAGGCCATTACATAATGGTAAAGAGATCAATTCAACAGGAAGAGCTAACTATCCTAAATATATATGCACCCAATACAGGAGCACCCAGATTCATAAAGCAAGTCCTTAAAGACTTACAAAGAGACTTAGACTCCCATACAATAATAATGGGAGACTTCAACACGCCACTGTCAACATTAGACAGATCAACGAGACAGAAAGTTAACAAGGATATCCAGGAATTGAACTCATCTCTGCAGCAAGCAGACCTAATAGACATCTATAGAACTCTCCACCCCAAATCAACAGAATATACATTCTTCTCAGCACCACATCGTACTTACTCCAAAATCGACCACGTAATTGGAAGTAAAGCACTCCTCAGCAAATGTACAAGAACAGAAATTATAACAAACTGTCTCTCAGACCACAGTGCAATCAAACTAGAACTCAGGACTAAGAAACTCAATCAAAACTGCTCAACTACATGGAAACTGAACAACCTGCTCCTGAATGACTACTGGGTACATAACGAAATGAAGGCAGAAATAAAGATGTTCTTTGAAACCAATGAGAACAAAGATACAACATACCAGAATCTCTGGGACACATTTAAAGCAGTGTGTAGAGGGAAATTTATAGCACTAAATGCCCACAAGAGAAAGCAGGAAAGATCTAAAATTGACACTCTAACATCACAATTAAAAGAACTAGAGAAGCAAGAGCAAACACATTCGAAAGCTAGCAGAAGGCTAGAAATAACTAAGATCAGAGCAGAACTGAAGGAGATAGAGACACAAAAAAACTCTCCAAAAAAAATCAATGAATCCAGGAGTTGGTTTTTTGAAAAGATCAACAAAATTGACAGACCACTAGCAAGACTAATAAAGAAGAAAAGAGAGAAGAATCAAATCGACGCAATTAAAAATGATAAAGGGGATATCACCACCGACCCCACAGAAATACAAACTACCATCAGAGAATACTATAAACACCTCTACGCAAATAAACTGGAAAATCTAGAAGAAATGGGTAATTTCCTGGACACTTACACTCTTCCAAGACTAAACCAGGAAGAAGTTGAATCCCTGAATAGACCAATAGAAGGCTCTGAAATTGAGGCAACAATTAATAGCCTACCAACGAAAAAAAGTCCAGGACCAGATGGATTCACAGCTGAATTCTACCAGAGGTACAAGGAGGAGTTGGTACCATTCCTTCTGAAACTATTCCAATCAATAGAAAAAGAGGGAATCCTCCCTAACTCATTTTATGAGGCCAACATCATCCTGATACCAAAGCCTGGCAGAGACACAACAAAA